TATTCATTTCAGTGGGTCTCTTCTGAGTAGGGCTAACACTGCATGCAACCCAAAGTTACAGTTCCCCCAAGAAAATGAGTCCCATTATCCTCACCCAGCAATCTTAACAATCCCAAATTGTACGCTGCTGGAAATTTATTCTGCATTTGGGGGTGGGGGTCGAGAAGGAGTTTCTTTTGAAATTTTCAAAGAAAGCTATATTGAATAAAACAAATTTTGTATTATTACAAATGACTATAAGGAAGATTTCCAAGACCACTTTTCATTAATCATAATAACAAAGGAGGCTTGGAGAAGCACTCTCAGCTAATCAAGGAGAAGCACTCAAACACTGGCCACATTCACACCATGTATTTAAAGCAGCATTAGACCACTACAAACAGTCATGGCTTCCCCGCAAAATCCTGGGAGCTGTAGTTTGTTAAGAGTGCTGGGAGTTGTTAAGAAGCCGCTGTTCCTTTTAGGTACCCCCGCCCGTATGGGCCAGTCTTGACAGACTCTAAGGTTGTGCGCTCATCTCACTCTAGAGGCCGGGAGCCGGCGCCGTCCGCAGACACTTCCGGGTCACATGGCCAGTGTGACATCGCTGCTCTGGCGAGCCTGCACCAGCACAGCACACGGAACGCCGTTTACCTTCCCAGCTGCAGATACCAGATCTGAAGAAGTGTGCATGCACACGAAAGCTCATACCAAGAACTAACTTAGTTGGTCTTTAAGGTGCTACTGGAAGGAATTTTTTTTGTTTTGACTATGGCAGACCAACACGGCTACCTATCTGTAACTGGTATATAAAGCAGACATTCTGGGGGGACTCCCATTCCTCCTCACCACTATGAGCTGAATAAAGAGCATAAAATCCACTCTCGACTCCGAGTATATTTCAGGTTTAATAGTCAATACCTCTTTACAGAACTAGAGGCACAGTCTACTCCTGTTCCTCCACCATCACCAGCAACAGCAACAGCAGCTGTCTTCATCTCAGCATCATAATTTATAAGGGGGGAGCCTTTTGCTGTTGGCAACTGGCTCCCAGATGGGAGTGTGGCCCTTGATCCAAAACAGAGTCTCCACCCTTTCCCTAAACCAATGCTTCCCAAACTCCCACCCACAAGACCACTTTAGAATTTTTGGTGGTCTTGGCAGGCCACTTAACGATTTTTCTGCCTGTCGTAGCCATCACACCTTGCTGTGGTAGATGTTGTATGATTTTTAATTGTATTTTTATTGCTTCTTTTATTCCTCATGCTGCATTGCATTGCATTACAACTCACATTCCATAGAACTCAACTTGCAACGCAGTAAAACACAAGAAATAAAATCAGCAATAAAATACAATTGAAAAAGATCAATATGGGTGCCTAATGTGGGCAGTGCTGCAAACCCACTTGAGCTTGCCTAGCCCTGGAGGTCGACGGACCACAGTTTGAGGACCCCGGTCCTACAGAATCATCATATAGTTTTTAATCCCTGCTGTCCTTCAATATTCTGCACCAGGCAGTTGCACACGCATAGTTATGGCCATTTTTCACTTCTCACTGAGACACAATTTTTAACTTGCTTTATTGTGGATTTATTCCTGCCTATGATTTTGGACCTTTGCAGTGGTATTATCCATTTGGAAAACCGCAATCAGGGCCTTGAAACCCTTTTGAGGTGTTATCATCCGAAGAAGATTTGGCAATCCATGACCTTATCCGGAAGCCTATTGTGAGCTGCTTAGAGCACCCTTCAATACGATAATAATAATTTGCTTTTTGTAAGCCTTGCTGAAACGTACTCTTTGCAAGTCTAATGATACTTGTCAGTTGCTTAGAGCCTTCTTTAATATGATTCTTGTGCTATGTAGTTCTTTGTAAGCCTTGCAGAAATGCACATTTTGCAATTGTGATAATACGCTCCCTATTTTATTGTAACTTCTTTTCACCAATACATGGCTGTTACATTTGTGCACATATAGCTATGTCCGTTTTTCATTTCTTACTGTACTACAATTTTTAACTTGCTTTATTAAGGGCTTAGTCCTCCCATCCCCTCTCTGTCCCTGAATCCAAAAGGGAGCAAAATATATTAGCCAAGCACAAGGAATTTTATTAAACACATGGGAGGCCCTGAAGTTCAATCTCAGTGAAAGGCTGAGCATTTGGCTATTTGCTGAAATTCCAGGATCCAGAGAGAGATAGAGAACCCAGAAATATCTCCTTGATCAATTTCAGAAGAGTCGCTTGTGGTGACCTCCAGCTGCACAATTTTTTTTCTGGATAATATTGCCAGCCACCAGTATAAAATACCAAACATGTCCAGAACACATGGCAGACCAAATCAATTGTTCATGTTCCCAGCTTTGAAAATATGTCAGCAAGGTTGAAAAGGCCCCCAACCCAGCGCACAACAAATTTGCTCTCCTACAAGATCCGTTATTCTTTACTCAGTCTTGTTGTTTTTAACCCAAAACAAATGTTTCAGTTGTGCAGCAGCTGAGGACAATGGATTATCCAGATGCCAGGGAGAAAATTCATTTCCTATTTAGACCCTGAACATGTTGCTATGGGGAAGAAAAACATCTACACAAATGACTCGATTTGCTGAGCATCTACATTTCTATTTGTTTTAGAGAAAATGTGATTTAGGCTTAGATGAGGGATGTGTGAGAAAATCCACAGAGTGATTCTATAGAATTCCTGCAGAGGAACTTTGCAGTGAAATCTGTTATCTGAATGTTTTGCCATGAACTTTGGCAGAGAATTCAAATTGATTCTCACTGTTTATGTTTCATGCTGCAGGTGTGCATGACCTACGTTGACTGTGTATGCAGCAGTTGAAGACTACAAATGCCATGGTGCAGTGAAACTTTGATTTACGCCACAATCCTATGGGCTGCCATATTTTGAAGAGGAAAAAAGAGGGCACATCTGACTTCTGCTTTTAACTATGGGTCGCTATGATGACTCTCATTTTACATACTCATGAAAAAGAGGATGTGTCCTGGAAAAAGAGGACATATGGCAACCAATGTCTACTCAGAAGTAAGTACTACTGAGTTCAATGAGACGTACTCCCAAGTATGTGTTTTAAGGACTGCAGCCTATAAACTATGTGTGCATGCTTACTAAAATTGCAGGTGCAAAGCATGGTGGCACAAGCTATGCCTCCACTCCATTTTGGAAAATCAAATCCCAAATTCTGCTTAGGGGAAAATTATTTATGCTACAACCCACATCTTGAGAGGACAAGCCCACAGGTGGTCCTTTCTGCACAATATAGGAATTGTGCCTTTGGTGTTATGGAAAACTGATGTGGACAGTGCCGGATTTACGTATAAGCTAAACGAGCTGTAGCTTAGGACCCCACTCTCTTGGGAGCCCCCCCCCAAAAAAATGAAAGGAAAAAAACTGGATGTACATTTCCAAAATATAAGATAAAAAAAAATCTACACATCAACAGTGTTTTGTGTTGTGTAGGCTCCTATGATACCTATTAGGTCCATAAATTACCATATATCATACTGGTATATTCAACACAAAAAACAGCGCAATTTGTTGTTGACAAAGGACAGCGGGACATATAAAGGGCCCCATTACCTTCAGTAGCTTAAGGCCTCATCAAACCTTCAGTAGCTTAGGGCCTCATCAACACAGCTGTCAACCGTCCCTTATTTGGCGGGAAACTCCCTTATCCCAGCGCTGTGTCCCGCTGCTGTCCCTTATTGATGATGTCCCTTAAATTTCCCGGGCTCCAAAGGAAGCAGCTCCTCTCCCTCCCTCCCTGCCGGCCAGGGAGGAGGGAGGCTCCAACTGTGTTGCTTGGCTGCCCGGCCCACCCCCCTCTGGCCTCCTCTCACCAGCCTCGGCCCCCGGGAGCCCCTCCCCGCCGGGACTGGTGGGAGCCTCGGGCCCTTCCGCCGCCATCCTCCTTGCAGCCACCGAACTGAGCATCTCTGCCTGGGGCCTCCCCTCTGCCCGCCGCCGCTGCTGCTCCCACTAGGCCGTACTGCGGCTGTGCCGCCGAAGGACCTGGATGAGATGGGCAGCCTGGTGCGGCCTATGAATTGCTGAGGAGCCTTGAGAGGAGAGCGATGGCAACCATAGAGAAAGCAGTTCAGAGAGAGGAGGAGGAGGTGGAGGTGGAGGCGCGGGCAGGTATTCCAAGGGCTAACCATAGAGGGGGAAAGCGGAGGAAGGACCGCAAGCGCTTCTCCCATAGATTTGTAGTGGTAGACTGGCATAGATGGTCTGCTCTGCGGGTTTACTTTGGGTGCTATTTCCCCCCCCCCCTCTTCCTCCTGCCCCGCCTGATGGAACTGAGAGCTGCAGATGGAGCACAAGAGAAAAGATACAGAACTGCAGCAGCATCTTCATAGCTTGGACTTCGTTTTGCGTGGAAAGTGGTTGCTGCTTGTAGTTATTTAATTGCAGTGTTTCATCAGCTGCTGTCTTGAGCAGCAACCTCTGGAAACGAAGGGCTAAAAACTGGTGCTGCTTTCCCAAATTATCTGATCCCTTTTAACTTCGTATTTCAGCTGGTTGACTAAAATCCCTTATTTTGGCTGCTGATCCCTTATTTTCGAGGCTGCTGGTCCCTTGTTTTCAAATCTGTAAGTTGACAGCTATGCTCATCAAACCTAAATCCGGCCCTAGATGTGGAAATGTGACGAACTGAACTTACGATTGTAAAAATGAGAAACTGAGGGAAACCGAAGTTTACAGATTTGCCCATCCCTACCTGAGCCATCCCCTAACAACACTCCTTGGTATTTCCTGGCTCAGATGACAACATAACTCCACCTGCCTTAAGGGAGGTTGGGATGGACATTTCAGGCAGCAAAATATCATGGGCTGGCTCTGCAACTCTTGTCTGGCTCACCAGCAGCCACTTCATGGCAAACCGCTAACCTATGGAAGTAAAACTAGTGCATGTCACTCAGCAAGAGGGCGCAAATCAGAAAGGCCATTTGACAATAGACGGGGATAATATAGGCAAAACGCACTAAGAAGAATGATTACCTTTCCGGGCTATTCGGATACAATTCAGCCTTGTTTCCTAACAGGGAAGAAGAGAGAGAGTCAGATTTTACTGGTCGAAGCTTTATGTGAACTTACTCTTTTTTTTTAGAATGAATATTGTTCTGCCTGCTTGCATCCCATCACAGTTATCCCACCAGAAATAGGTATTTCCAGACATCAAGGCTTCATACCACTTTGATATTTTTGAACTAATAAGCAATATATGCATTCTTTTAAATAAATAGCAATATGAGCATGAAAAACCCCAATTTACAACTAACATACTCACACACACCACACAACATGGCGTGTGCAAGGTCGCCATGCCCCCCCAGCCCCCTCAGTGAAAATTTTTTTGGGGGGTCCTTGGCTCCCTGCCCACCTGTACCCCCGATGGCCCCCCTGATGCTGGTTATGGCTTATGAGAGCTAAAGCCCTACAATATCTGTAGGGCAACAGGTTCCCCATCCCCAATTTAAAAGCTGGTTCTTAAATCGTAATGATGCCAATTGCAGTGACTGGCAAAGTTTGCACAGTAATTTCCTCCATGGCATTGAATTCCTTTAGATTTAAGGCCTATGGATAGAAATGAATACACCATACTATTCCGTGTACAGTATAAGATGACCTTTTTTCCTTTAAAATTATGTTAAAAATTGGGGGTCAGTGGCTATTTGGTGTGTTATTTGTTGCTGTGGCCAGGCTGGTGTTAATTGGCTGTTGCTACTCTGGGCTACCCCCCCCCATAAAAAGCTCAATAACTATGGGCAATCCTCCCCCCAAAAAACTCAACAACTCTGAGCAATCTCCCCCCATTTTCTTAATTTGGAGTCCCCCCAAATAGGGGGCATCTTATACGCAAAGGCGTGTTATACACAAAAGAATACGGTCACCTCTCAGGTTGATAGAGAGCCATCTCACTTGCCCAGCTGAGAAACCATTTTGTTCCTCACTTTTCTTTTCTTTCCTGCACTGCCTGTCTCCTCCCTTTCTATCTCGCCAGCCCAGTGGGATTCCTCAAGCACCCCCCTGCATTGCCTGCCCACCTGCCAAAACGCCATGCTAATAACACAATCACTGCAGATGGAAGAATGGAAATGAAACAAATGGGCATCATTTTCCTTAATGTGCATAATCTATATCTACTCATTATGTTAGGATTCCTTGTTGTGCCATTTGGGATATTTGGATGCTGGGTGCATGAGAACCAGACTGCAGCAATAAGGAGGAGGCTGGAAAGAACCTCAGCTGGGGCATAAAGCTTTCCAAGACATCCTCCCCTGCCTGCTCACACAGGCAGCTATTCTATTCTCCCTGCAGCTGGACTGTGAAATTAACAGCTTCTGTCAATCATTACCAACCTGGGGTCATTACAGTTCTAAGAATTCAACCGTCGCTCCACATATGCCAGTATCCTGCTTCCCACAGTGACTAGTCAGATGCCTATGGGATGGCCACAAGCAAGGCATGGAAGCAACAATGCTAATCCCAGCAATTAGTGCTCAATAGCACAAAGGAGACCTGCAACAAAATGTTGCCTCCTAGCCACAGTGTTCCTGTTCAGAAGTCCAGGCAGCTAACCATGCCCTTCTCTAGAACTAAGGAGTTCATGGAGGCCATTCCAAGGTTTAGTGGCTACTGAGCACACTCAATCCATATTGTCTCACTGCCCACCCCCCATCTTTGTTTCTTTGTTCAGAGAGCATTTTAAAAAAACATATCAAGACATTTTGGGGCATGTCAACATGTCCATCTAGTTTCTGGGTAAGGGTTATAGCTCAGTGCTGAAGCATCTGGCTTGCAAGCAGGTAAAAGGTAAAGGTAAAGGTACCCCTGCCCGTACGGGCCAGTCTTGACAGACTCTGGGGTTGTGCGCCCATCTCACTCAAGAGGCCGGGGGCCAGCGCTGTCCGCAGACACTTCCGGGTCACGTGGCCAGCGTGACGAAGCTGCTCTGGCGAGCCAGCGCAGCACACGGAAACGCCGTTTACCTTCCCGCTAGTAAGCGGTCCCTATTTATCTACTTGCACCCGGGGTGCTTTCGAACTGCTAGGTTGGCAGGCGCTGGGACCAAGCAACGGGAGCGCACCCCGCCGCGGGGATTTGAACCGCCAACCTTTTGATCGGCAAGCCCTAGGCGCTGAGGCTTTTACCCACAGCGCCACAGGACTCAGGTTCAATTCCCAGCATCTCCAGGTAGAGTTCAGAAAAAAACTCCTACCTGAAATCCTGGAGAACTGCTGCCAGTCAGTGTAGATAATACTGAGCTAGATAGATCAATGGTCTGACTTGGTATAAGGCAGATCCCTATGTTCTTATGATTCTCAGTGGCCCCATTTGGCTCCATTCTTATTGGCACTCACTACCCAAGTTTGCAGTTAGAGGAACTGCATCTGAACCTGGAGGTTTCGTTTACCTAGCTAATGGCCTCTAATGGACTTAGGTTGCATACATTTAAAACACAGAGACACACCTTGAAAGAATCCTGGGAGCTGCAGTTACCCCTCACAGAGCTATATAAACCCTTAACAAACTACAATTCCCAGAATTTATTTATTTTTATTTATTTTTTAGGGGAGAGGTGTTTTAAATTTATGGTGTATATAAATTCTTCATTCTCCATGAATTTGTCTAACCCTGTTTTTAAACTAACACCATTACATCTGTAACACTGATAATTGCGCATTGTTCATAGAAGCACTTTCTCTGGTCTGTTCTGAAAACTGCTCTCATCAATTTAATTGGGCAACCCTGAGTTTTTGTATTATGGATAAAGTGGAGGGAGGGGAGGGAAACTTTTTTCCTCGTCCACTTTCTCTACATAGTGCATAATTTTAGAAACCTCTATCATGTATGCCCCCAGTGATCTCTCCCTTCCCAAAACTAAAACTAAGAAAAAAACACACCACACCAAATGCTTTTAGTGGGTGTAGCCTGGAGGAGGCATAAAAGTCCTCAATCTGCTCCCAACATTGGTTGTAGCAAGTACCGTATTTTTCGCTCTATAAGACGCACCAGACCACAAGACGCACCTAGTTTTGGAGGAGGAAAACAAGAAAAAAATATTCTGAATCTCAGAAGCCAGAACAGCAAGAGGGATTGCTGCGTAGTGAAAGCAGCAATCCCTCTTGCTGTTCTGGTTTCTGGGATAGCTGCGCAGCCTGCATTCACTCCATAAGACACACACACATTTCCCCTTATTTTTTAGGAGGGAAAAAGTGAGTCTTATAGAGCAAAAAACACGGTAGCTTTTTGGAGCTGTCCGTGGTCCTGTAACATTTGAATTTCCTTGCTTCCAGAACATAACACAGAACATGAACCCAGAATGTCCTGGGTTCAATCCATGGCATCTCTAATTGAAATAATCAGTTAGCAAGCATGTAGTGGGAAGCAGTCTGAGGCTGAGACCCTTGAGAGCTGCTTTTCATCAAAGCAGACAACCCTGGGCTCCATGGACAAATAATCTGACCTGGTCAAAGGCAGCATCCTGTGTTCCTTATTTGAATTGATGGATTTACATGTAATGGCAACCCTTCCTGCTTCTTTGCCAGCTCTCTCTGGCAGCACACACTCCTTCATGTGGCTCTACAGCCTTTGACTTCTATGGGTGCGGCAATACATTGCCTGCCCACTTCTGCATCCCCAGTGGCTCAGATGGAAGCTGCAGAAATGTGTCAAGTCAAGGCATCAAGGATCCTCTGGAGGATGCCCCCCGTTGTTCCAGCAGTCACCTTGAAAGAGATTTGCCCAGACGTGGAACAGAACCTCGGGTTAGTCAGATCAGATTTGTCTCTGCAATGAAAGCTGGGCTGTTGAAGCTAGGCCAAGCTTGATCGTCTTGCAGATTAGGACAGAACAGCCCACTGGGGCAGCTGCAGGGGACAGGCCTGGAGTCCTTGGAGGACATCTCCTAATGTTAGCAGATGCAAGGAGTCGCTGCAAGAAAGGGTGTCAAATGAATTGTCTCTTGCTGAGATGCCTGAGCAAGATCCCCACCCTTCTCCCTCTGTAGACAGCCTGAAGAAAATCCATGCATTCTCATTTCCAATGGTGCAGTCTGATTATTTTTAGACTTTGGACTTAATGGTCTTACATACTCTCTACCCCATCACCACCACCGTTCCAAAGATGGCAAACGGGGAAGGACCATAGCTGAGAATCAGAAGGTCTCCTGCTGATTCTGCTGCCCCCAAGTCCTGCCCTGATAGCACCGCTGCTCATTTCTTTGCTAAAAAAGGCAAGGGTGTCTCTCAGGTCCAGGCAGGAAGAGGCAGAAGCAGCTGAGATTGGACATTAATGGCACACAGACTAAGGAAAGAGGGTGTAGCTCAGTGGTGCAGTGCAGGCTAGTCTATTAGGTGAATGGGACACTATACCACCAGCCACCATTGCAGTGATGATGCACTAGCTTTGCCCTTGTGAAATGCAAGATCCAGCATCATTGATTTTTTTAAAAAAATCTCAGGGGGCTGAGCTAGCCCTGGACAATGGCTGCAAATTGAATTAAGATCAGTCAGTGTGAGCTCCCCACTTTAAGTTCCAGGTGATCTGGAAGCAGCAGTGCCTTCTTGCTGGTAGTCCCAGAGCTCCAAAACTTCCAGAGGTTATGGAAGGCTATCAGCTGATCACATTTTAATCCAACACATTGCTACTCACCCCTTTGAGATGGCTCATGGCCTGGAAGTAGATGAGATAGGCCTTCTTGGGCTCCAGCGGTGGATTCCAGTAGCCGCTGTAGGTTTGGTTGTCCCCTACCGTGAAGGGCTTGGCTTCTGTGAGGCTGCTGGGGGGCAGCTCGGCTCCAAAGTAGTGAACTGAGCCACGGGACATGGCGTCGTCAAAGGTGAGGGGCACCGGAAAGCATTCCTGGCCCCCCACCTCCCGCTTGACCTTCCTAGGCCTGTCTTCTTCCACAACGACTTGGTATGTGCTGGGGACACGGTCCAAGGAAGCGGGTTGGAGAGTGAAAGAGAACAGAGACGGGTGAAATCAGATGGTCTCACAGAACTGTAGAGTTGGAAGAGACCCTGAGGATCATCTAGTCCAACCCCCTGCAATGCAGGAATATGCAGCTGTCCCATATGGGGATCAAACTTGGAACCTTGGTATTATCAGCACAAAGGCTCTAACCAGCTGAGGCATCCAGGCTGAAATAAATCAGAATGCTTTGAGATTAAGGGGGTTGGCACCTGCACTTACAGCTGCCTTTTCAAACCCTTGGAGAATAATCCAACCAAAGAATTCCAGGAACTGTAGTCTTGTTGAAGGTGTTGGGAATCATAGCTCTGTGAGGGATAAACTACAATTCCCAGTATTCTTTGGGGGGAGCCATGTACAGTCATGGGGGTTTGTGGCTTGCCAATGCCCGTCTATGCTGGAGTCTACTGGCTATACCATCATCCTGCAGACACTAGATTACAAATGTTCAGCCTTACTGGCAGAAGATCCGGTGAGTTTCAAGTAACTCGTGGAAGCAGAGGTGCTGCCATCCCCTTTCCTCGCATGATGATCATTTATTTAACAACATTTCTATGCTACCCAATCTTGTAAGAAACAGGAATAGCTAGCAAAGGGAGATGATGCATGGTTTGGCTAAGGAGTCTTAGAAGAGGCAGCTGCCAGACTTAAGGCACAGAGCTTTGAGGATGATGCACTTGTGTTGCCTTGCTGCCAAAGTCAAGGGAAGAGGATTCCGTCCAGCAGGTGCACATGGGATGCAAAGACACTTGCTCAAGACATTCAAGCAAGAGCCCCAGGAAATCCACAAAGGCGCTCTCTCTCTCTCTCTCTCTCTCTCTCTCTCTCCCCTCCCTCCCTCTCCCTTTCTCCAGACTCCACCGCTGTGACCTGCAGGCCAAGCACAGCTGATCTCACACACACACATCAGGCCTGGCTGGCTGTAGGTTATATATAATTAAAGATACCAAGTCAGAGGCACTATTTGTAACTTTCTCTACCCTTCAGCCAAGAGCAGAAAGGCAAATAACAGTGTGTCAGAAGGGACTGTTTAAATGCCCTAAAGCATTCACGGGCAGGTTTCGTACTGTGGCACAGACCGTGTTAAAACCAGCGCTTTTCAAAAGGGATGCATTAAATCAACAGGCAAACCTTTGCCATCTTTGGAAAAGACAGGTGCCTAGGGTGGGGAGGCATGTGTGTTCAGTGGGTGAATCAAGTCTCGCTCGCCAATTCTCAGCATTAAAGTCTAATTACAAAGATGGCAAAGAGGAACGCTGTCAGCCATATCCCTCACATTTCCATTCTTGCTCAGGTTGTGGATGGCTCTCAATCGGATGTCTGGGGTTGCAGGGGGTCAAAGACTTATTACTATTTCTGCAGCATGGTCCCTGGAAAGTGAAGAACCTTATGGTTTCAGTATTCCTAAATGGAGCATACAGAACAGCTCCTACTTGGCGTTCCTCCCAGCTGCCCTCTTCGGAGTGACTATGAGCCAATCCGCAGTTACTGACTCACCTCCTTTCACTATGATTGGCTCCTATAAGCCAATAAGTGTGAGGAGATTCCTCCCTAGAGGGTAAAAAGCTCTTTTTTCTGTTACATACAATAGAACTTCAAGGAAAGCAGAAGTTGAGTCACCTTGGAAGAAGATACGAGAGCACTCCAAACTGAGCAAATGACATGGGGGTGGGTGGGAAGGATTAAGCCCTTTGCTAGTTCCACAGTCATGACCCAAATCCAACCCACCTCTGGAACTGCAATTAATATTTTTTTTAAAGCAAGGAGGAGGGGAGAGAGAAAAGGCCAATCCACCTTCCATTTCATAAATGAAGTTTTGTTGTCTCAAAACTGAAAGGTGGTATGCATGAGTTCCTTGAGTAGATGGGCTTTCCTGTACCTGATAGGTGCACCTCTGCCCTGTGCCGGCCTTAGCAGAATGGTGATGGTGCTCTCCGACTCTCCCAGAGGGGAGGGCATGTCCCCATAATCGAAGCTAGGAGCTAAAAAGGAAAACAAAAGACAGTGATCAGAAAGGATATAAGCTCAAGAAGGACAATCCTGGGGCTTTTGTGAATTCCAAGCATAGTGATGTTTCATCGGAAATAGCAAGCCATGTATTGAACTCAGAGAGGTTGTACATTTACATTGGTTTAAACCGATTTAAGACAGCGCAAGTCCTCCTGTAGATGCTCTGGTTGGGAGCAACAGCTATTTGGTTCCTTCTTTACCAGAATTGTCTCCATCACCAGACATCATCATCATTTATACCCCATCCATCTGGCTCGGTTTCCCCAGTCACTCTGGGAGGATCCCAACAGAATATTAAAAACACAATAAAACATCAAACATTAAAAACTTCCCTAACCAGAGCTGCCTTCAGATGTCTTCTAAAAGTCAGATAGTTGTTTATTTCCTTGACATCTGATGGGAGGGTGCCACTACTGAGAAGGCCCTCTGCCTGGTTCCCTGTAACCTCACTTCTCATAGGGAGAAGGCCCTCGGAGCTGAACCTCAGTGTCTGGGCTGAATGATGGGGATGGAGATGCTCCTTCAAGCCATCCAGATATATCAGAGAGTGATATAATACAGTGAAGTCTCCCCCGCCCCCATCAACCATGATAAAGACCACCTGTCATTTGGCTCTTCCCTTCTCAAAACTGCCTCCATCGGATGCCATTCCATCTGGTCCTCCCACCCCCAGTCCCTGGGTACATCAGTTAAGCCCTCTCCAGATGGTACTGCCATGAACAGGAAATACCAGTAGAATGGGGATGGAGGGGGCACATCTTTATCCCCGCCACCATCATTGCAAGGCACATTTTTTTTCTGCTCCCGGGTTCTTGAGCTGAGAACTGCTTCTTAAAGTGTGAAAGCCCGCAGATAACTTGATTCCAATCTGCACACTAAACTGGAAGGTGCAGATCAGATTAGGCTGAATGGGAATTTGCAAAGATCATATTCCTCAAGAAGCCTAGGTGTAGCTGTTTCCCGCTGCCTAGAACAACATCTTGACAGAGCAGTTAGGAGGCCTCCTCTCCAAGTCATGAGCGCAATGAATCAGAAAGACAAATCCAATTGGTTCGTTTTAAATAACCGGCCTTCACCAAAACTCCCATGGCACTTTTTTTTGGGGGGGGGGTGAATTACGAGCGCCAGCAACTGCCTCCTTCCCACATGGTAAACTGATCCAGTTAGCATTCTTTGATGTGCATCTGAATCAGCTCTTGGATTCCAGATGTGACAACATTTCAGAGGGAAGCAAAGTCATGAATGTTTGGGGGACTGGGGGTTGCTCTTTGGGAGGGGGGAATGTGTGTTGTGTGTAGGGCTGCCAAGTCAGGAGCATCCCAGACCCTGAGATTTCAGGGCTCAAATCTGAGATCTATGAGCAGCCTCTGGTGGTGTCATGGAGGAGAGGCTTCTGGTGATGCCACAATGTTGTCCCTGGAACCATCACAGTGTGGGCCCTGGAGATGGGAGTTAATTGGGAGAGGGGAGGGGAGGGGAGGAAGGCAGCCCTCCCTCAAGTGTCTATGTTATCATTTTCACCCAGCTCCTGCCAGACTGAAGCCTGCAAGCTGTATGCACAGCTTATTTTCTTAATAATTCTTATTATTATTAAAGGCACTCTTGCGCACCTGAAGATTCAAGCCCTCCACTTGCCACCTGGAGGGGACCAGGCAAGCCTGGGGACTTCAGATCAGACCTAGATGTCTGGCAGCCCTAGCTGTATGGAACTGAGAACCCTCGGCTCTCTTTTCATTGACTAGTTCTCTCCTTTTGAATAATGTACCCGGCTTATGCCAACATAAAACGCTGCACCTCATTTCCATCCACATTGCACACTGATTATTCTGAAAGCCATGGTTATCCCACAATTCTTTTTGCTCTGACAAGAGAAAGGGAAGAAAGGAAGGGGAAGGACATATTAATTGGCTCTGCTTCTGACAGAGCTGGATGAGTGAAAAACAAGGGGAGGGACGACATGCTGACTGAAAGGAAAAAAATTGGAAGGGGAACCAGAAAGATGAAGTTCTTTACAGAAATATGAAAGAACAGTGAAGGGTTGAGCAGCTGCTTTGCATGTAGAAGGACCCAGGTTCAATTGCCGGCATCTCCAGGTACAGCTGGGAATGTTCCCTGCCTGAAACTCTGGAGTGTCACTGGTAAAGGAGCTAACAGAATCATTAGTTTGCAGGAAAGTGAAAATGTACCTCCGCAGCCCTTGCTTTGTCCGAAGCCGTCCCTTCAGTCAATGCAGCAAAACCTTTCCACAATTCCCTTGCAGAAACCCCCTGCCCCTCGCTCTCCCTTTGCTTACAGCCTGCAGGTCCTGATTAATCAGCAGCCACTCAGGTCCACCTCCTGCTGCCTCCTAATTCCTGTGTCCCTATTAAAAAACATCTCAGCCAATTCAGCACTGTTAATAGCTACACCACAGACATTAGCAAACAGCCCTAAGTACTGTATGGCTTGTTAATGAAGCCCAATTAATCCCTTGTTTGTGCCTCTGCAAGGCAGAGTATTTTGTTTCCTCTCTGTAATCTTCCCCTTGGCATATATTATGGGGTGGCGGCAGCAGGGGGTTCTGTTATCTCTGCAGTAGACAATCTTCTAAAGAATGCCAGCTTTGCCTCCTCCTGAGAGCCAGCCTGGCCTCCTCTCTGTCTCCCAGAAAGCCTGGCTGTATGACTACAGACCCAAACTTCCCTCCCAGCTCTTCAGCCTTGGCACAACTAGGAGCTCATATGGCAGACTATGGGCATTGATGTGACTAGCTTCACTGCCAAAACTTGAAACAGAGAGAAAAAGAAAGGGCAATTGATGGGATCAGTAATAGTCTACTCATTTGGCAAAAAAGGACTCGGAAATCTGTCACCATTTCAAGTTCTGGGATCCCATTGCATCTTCTAATTGGAATGACATGCTTTGGGGTGCAATCTTTGCTATTTCCAATACAAATGAACTTGCTCTATACCTCCTGGACAAATGCATGGATTAGAATTTGTCCGTTCACTGATTTCCATGCTTCCTTAATGTTCTGATGCAGTATTCAGCATCAAAAAAAGCATCAAAATAGGGCCCTAGGGTTGCCATACATTGTCTTTTTCCTGGACATCTCCTCTTTTTTAGGGGTAAAATTTCTGTCCCAGCAGATTTTTAAAATTGGACAAAATGTCTGGGGTTTTCACCAAATGACAACGGCATCCTGCCTTCTCCTATGCAGCGGTTACCTCGCACATAGCCATGGCTCAGTTGGGAACCACAGGTGTTGCAAGCAGCCTCACTGCTCCAGCTTCTCTCTCAGGACTACATGTGACCTTGTTATCCATCTCAATCAACAGTAGGCAGCGGTGGCACATTTGAATGGAGTTTTGGAGGCAACGAAGGAGGATGGGCTGTTGGTTGATCGCCTGAGGACAGGTGAGTCACAGCAACACAGAATGCAGCCACCTCTGGACAGGTATCCCTCTCTCTGCATGCCTGCTCTACTGTCTCTGAGAGGTCAGGATGCCACAGGGAAGGATGGGGAAGTGGAGGCAGAGGCAAAGGCAGAGGCAGAGGCTTCTTTTCCTTGCATACATATCATATGCACCCCCTCCTCGGGAGGAAAGGAAAACAAGCCTCACGTCACCCTCAGAGGTTAATGTAAAAAGAGGACAGAACAGAGAAGAGTCGGTGGAAGAAGATTGGAAAAAATTTAAAGTATATTTACAGAAATATTGTAAAATAAATGAATGTTAGAAGGATGCTGGAAAGAAGTTATATGGCTTTAGCAGAAATGTTATAAAGAATTAAGTAAAAATAGATTGTTAACGGGTCAAAGGGTAAAATTTAAGGTTAAATTGCGTTAGATAAATTATGGAACAACATTTGAGAAAGAGGGAAAGGACTTGCTGAAACAACTAATTGAATTAGAATACAAAAAAGGGAGGTGTGAGGAAGTCAAGGAAATAAGTAAATGAAAGATAAAGATATGAAAATACTGGATGGGGTTTTTTTTTAAAAAAAGTTTTTGTTTCTAAATGTTTTTCTTTTTTCTTTTTTATTGTTTTGTCGTATTGTTGTTTTTTATTGTATTTTCTTTTATTTCTGAAGTATTGTAACTTTTTATTGGCTGCTTTTCTTTTCTTTTTGTAATTGTTAAACTTTAATAAATATCATTAAAAAAAAAATAAAGGACAGAACAATGTAACAGATTGAAAATAAGAGTGATTTGCCCACCCTAATCCTGGCACCATCCAGAAAGAAACATTTGTCCTGTGCCTGGGATATAAGATGTATTTCTTTTTCTCAAACAAAGGTTCATTGTCGTAATGGCAAAAGCATGCATTTTATAATATGTGCACACTCGTGTATTACACAGAGAAATGGGAGACTTGGTGCTCTTCTGATACAAAAAAATGCAAATGTAAGAAGAGGCCTGATCAATCAGGCCAGAAGTCCAACTAGCCCAGAAGTCTGTTCTCACAGGGGCCAACCAAATGCCTCAATAGGAAATCCAGGACTTGAGTTCAAGGTCAAGGTCAAGGTCAACAGCTCTTGCAGTTCCCAGCAACTGCCTCTGACAGTGGGGGAGATAACATGGCCATCATAGCTCGCAACCATTGATTACCTTATCCTCCATGAATTTGCCTAATCCTCTTTTAAAACCATCCAAGTCGGTGACCATCACTTTATGCTGTACTGTAGTCACTCTGTACATTGACTGGATCATTTCTCAACACTTTCAGGCTGCAATCCTAAACTAGGGCGTAAACAGTGTTGGATACCATGGAATAGGATTGTAATGCAAAATGCATCGCTGTAGAATTTCAGTGATTTCAACGACTTCACTGGTTCTATCAGTGCAAAGAGATCCAAGATTGTAAGAACTATGGTATTGCTGCTTCCTTTAAAAAAAAAAAAAAAGATGATCAAAACCGAAAGCTAATCTCTTCATCTTCAGGCAATGTTAAATCCCATGTCCCAGAGATGGAACATCTATTTATTTGTGGGA